CACCACAAAATGCCTCTGTCTTAGGTATTATTCTCCCTGTCATACAGCTGAGGAAACAGAGGCTCAGAAGGGTTTTAAGCCTGGCACCCAAAACACATGACTAGGAGACAATGAGACTGGAATTCAAATTAAAGTTAACACAACCCCAAAGCATGTGTTTCTCAACATGATGCTTAGCTGCCCAAGCACAGCAGACAGTCTCAAGTTAACATCACCAAGTGCTGTGCTCACACGGGACGACCTGAGGAAGGCGATACACATAGGGGTTATTAAAAGTCACCTTGTGGTGTAGTGAAAGGGATGGATAGACAACCTGGGACTCTCAGATCCTTGTTCAGTATTTTGGGAAACTCTCCCTTGTCCTCCTAAATCAAAGACCAAATTGTCCCCAAAGTGCATGAAGTCCTACTATACAATTTCATCCCAATTCTCACACACACACACACACACACACACACACACACACACACACACACACACCCCTACTCAATGCTATTCCTCTTAAGTACACCATGGGCACTTGCTTAATAACTGTGGTCTCCTGGGGAAATCATGTGAAATGTATCCGTTTCTACAGTGTCTATTTAAGACAAAGGCAGGACGAGAAAGGGGGTCCCTGCCATTCCAGTAGCCTGGAGCCTTTTCCTGGCCAGCATTTCTTTCCACAATGGTTCAGGGCCAAGAAACGTTCTTCATTCTGCCCCCTTTCGCCTTTTTGGCTGGCTCCTGAAGGCCTGGGAGTCTGGAGGAAGAAGGAAGGGGGGGAGGTAGGGATGTGAGACAGGAGGGCATCGCTGATAAGAACAAAGAGCCAGCAAACTCCGGAAGCCCGTGAGGCAGGCGCACCAAGAGATGCTGACTTCCAGCAACATGAAAAGACAAGTGAGGAGGAGGATTACGGGAACTTCCTCTCCTTGTGGTGTGGCCCGGTCATAATGGTGTTGTGGTTACGCGGCACAGGCTCATTAAAACAATAAGTAAACCACAACCGCTGTAATTAGGAGTTCTCTTTTCCTGCACGCTTTGCTGAAAGACGAGGCGCCTGGGTCCCTGTCTCCTGCCAATTACCAGCAGCGCTCCTGCGATATGGAGAGATTAATTTAGAACAGCAAGGAGCAGAAATGGCTTCCACGCTGTGAGTACGTTGTCCCCGGGGGAGGGTAAAGAAAGAGGTGCGGGTATTTAAGCATTCAAGAACAAGCACGGTAGTTGGATCTTTCTGGATAATTATGAGGTCTCGATTCAGAGTGAAATTCCATGTTCAGAGCACCGTTTTCTTAGAAATGTCCTAGCCTGTGCTATCAGGACATAATGCCTGGCTGCGTTTTCAAAATGCTTCCCTGGGTGGTACATGCATTTGAATTAATGAAAGAGGTGGAAATGAAGAGCCAGGCAGGTAATTCAATATAACCAATTGGTACTTTAAAATTCCTCACTTCTCTAGGACCTTCCCCCCCCCCCCTCTCTCTCTCTCTCTCTCTCTCTCTCTCTCTCTTTCTTTAAACTCATCTAAAATTTCAAACAGCCTCTTGGAGGATAGATACAAATAACCCTATCATTTCGACAAATGCAAGATTACAGGGGGATTTAATCCTAAATGGCCCATTTCTAAAATGTAAATATAACCGGACTGCAGGTCATTCAAGCTCTTTCTCAATTATCATATAAATGGATCTGGCAAATATACTTGTTATTCCAAACCTCCAAATCCCAACTCTTCCCCATTTAGTACCAAGTAATACCCAGACATTTTTGCCTGCCAGCGAGGATCCTTCAAGTTCTGGCCCATCCTAGCTCTCAGGTTTGCCTCCTGTACGTCCCCACAGGTAAGTCATATGAGCGAAGGTGGGTTTCTCCTTCTGCTGCAAATAGACCAAGGGTGTCTACCCAGTAGAAATGCCTTCATGTCAGACTCCACCTGTACTGCTCTGCTCCATGGGGCTACCCAGGGGTGAAGACCGTGAATTTTGAGATCAGGAAGACCTGGAATTGAAACTCTATCCCACGGGCAGAGCAACCATGGAGTCAGTTCAAAGCTATAATAAGCATTATTTACCTCGTAGAATTCTTGCAAGGATGAAATGAGAAAATGACTGCAAAGGATTTAGCAGAGCACTTGGCATGAAGTAAGTAAAGTGAGGTGATTGTTGTTACAAATATTATTACCCGCCGTTGTCAAAATCCTTCAATCCTGTCAAGACGCAATTCGAATGCAACCTCCAAGGTTACTCCAGTTGGAAATAATAATCTCTTTCCCCTGTGAACTCCTAAACAGCTTCAATTGCATCTCTAGAGATTTCTTACATACAGTCTTTCATGGAATCATTCCAGTATATTAATAAAAACATCTACTGCTTATGTATGTGTTAACCACTACTCTAAACACTTTATATATGTCATCTCCTTTGCTCCCCACAAGAGAGCCTATGATATTATTATACCCATTTGACAGACCAGTAAACTGAGATACAGTGAGGTCAAATACTTTGTCTAAGGCTCCACAGCTATGGGAAGATGGCCCTGGGGTTCAGAGTCAGCAAAACAGGCCCCAGGATCTCCACACTTAATTGATAAGTGCTACCTACTCTCTGCCTATATTTATCAGGGTGACAGTGAGCGTACCAGGCACCTTACTTATATCACACTAGTCCAGGCCCCATCATCTTACTGCAATGGAAAGGAAATGGAGTTTAAGGTCATAGGTATGGCCTCAAACACCCTTTTAGCCACTAGATAGCTGTGCAACCTTGGGCAAGTCATCTCACATTGCAAAATCTCCATCTGCACAGCTGGAAAGTGAAAAATTCTTAAACTTAGGAATAATATGTATCAAACACTTAGAATCCAACATATGGTAACTTAACTTAACTAATATATTTTATTAATATTGGTTTGAAGGCTTCAGGAAGCAGGGATCATATTTTATACATTTTCTTTGTTCCTCTTCACATAATCTCAGAAAGAATCCCATATATTCCTTTGCACAGAAGAGCAACTCAGTATATACTTATGGCCTGAATAAATGAATGCATAAATCAATGCCAGTGGGCTATAAGTAAATAGTTCTAGAAGAGTTGCAGAAAAGGGTCATATTTGGCTAAGTTTATACCTAAAAACCTTATTAATAACACACTACATGTTCTTGTATGTTGCAGTGACATTTGGAGTTTCCCTTCATGGAACAAGTGATCTCTCCAACCCTGAAGCTGCCCTAGTTCAAGGCCAGGGTCTGGTGTGGGGGTGAGTGGAAGGCACACAGCACCACCTACTGAACTGGGATTTTCCATAACCCAGAAGGAGGCCAAAATGGGAGAGCTGTGTCGCAGCAGAGTGCTGCGCTCCAAGTTTAAACAGAGCTGAAGTGAAAGCTACAGGCCTGTTAAAAAGACAATGTCTGCTGGAAGCCAAGGGTTATTCGGCTTACCTTGGCGTCCATGCTCTGACCATTCAATGACCATCAGCCATTGTTGGAGTGTGTTGGTGGCTCTGGGAAGCGGGCAGCCCGGTGGCTTGGATCTCAGCTGTCCCCCAGGGGTTCTCTGGGGCTCCTTTTCTGCATAACTTGGCTGCACTTCAGCAAGAAGTGGGAACTTGTGTGCCGACACCAATGGGGGTCCTGGAATCTTTTCTGAGGTGTGTGGGCCTTCCGTGGAAACCTTCAACAGCTGGATGGATGACCTTGAATAAAAGGACAAGGTCCTCAAAGTCTGGATTTCTCCGTGACTCACAACCAAATAACAGTTCATGTTGGCCTAGTTGCCTGCTCATCTCTTCAGCATCTGCACATCATTAGCTGAGGGAAATAGTGGGGGAACCCAAACTCTAAATGCTCCTCACCTTGAACTTGCTAACACAGAGTCCCCTGAAACACCTGACCCAAGCCCTGGTGTGTAGCAGATGCTTACACATGCCCAGTACACAAGTGAGTGAAGCCCACTGGTCACCTGGCCTGGAACTGGGAGGTGGTTCTCCCCCTTGACTGATGGCACTGCAACCCCATTCACATCCTTCCCACATGGCATCCTTGGCTCCTTCTTTCAATACATTGGCCTCTGCCTCCACCTTCCTGCCCCTACGGTCTATGAAATGGGATCCTGGTGACTATCATGTGTGATGCTTGGGGAACCCAGGCAGTGACACCCTTAATTAAGGAGAGCCCTGACTAGGTTTATTGCACTGATTTATTCCCAGTTTATAGAGAAAGGTTTGGAGCGTAGTAGGTTCTCAATAAATATCTGCTGAATGACTGAGTGAGTGAGTGAATGAGAATGCTAGTCATGAGAGCCTTCACAGAAGGAAGGAGAAGGCAAGGAAAGGAGCAGAGAGATGGAGGGGGGGAGGAAAGGGAGGATCGAGACGGACAGGCCTCGGAGGAAGTGGGTGGAAGAACAGATGGGAGAAGGCCAGTGTGTGTCTTCAGCTTAACTGGGAGGACTGCTCGTGTCCACCGCCTCTGCGGCCCTGCGTGCTCGGCCGCCGCTCACCTCCTTCCCCAGTCCTGTGCTGCGTCTCCTTCCTGAGAGGAGCCCCTCTCCAGCAGAGCGGGGCCCCAGCTGCCTTCCCTTCCGACCCACCACCCTACGGCTGAGGCCCTGCTTGCAGATCGCCCTGCGCTCAGATCACCTCATAGTGCAAAAGGCCTCTCTCACAATCAGCTCTGCAGCCTCTGACCCTGTCTTTCCATCTCTTCTGCTCTGTCTGGCAGTCTGTCTCTTGTTCTCTCTCTCTCTCTCTCTCTCTCTCTCTCTCTCTCTCGTCTCCTTCTCTGACTCTGTATCTCTCTCTTTTCTCTGTCCCTCTCTGTCTTTCTTGCTCTCTTTGCATGTGTCTCTCTCTACCTCTCTCTGTGTCTATCTCTGTGTCTATGTCTGTCTGTCTGTCTAGCTCTATTTCTCTCTCTGTATGTCTCTGTCTTACCTTCTCTTTGGGTCTCTGCTTTCCTCTCTTTTTGTCCCTCTCTCTTTCTCTGCCTCTCCCTCTGTCTGCCTGTCTTTCTGTCTCTTTACCTCTCTCTTTCTTATCTTCGTGTGTGTCTCTCTCTCTTTCACTGTCTCTCTCTGTCTCACTGTCTCTGCTACGCTCTGCTAAATGCCTCTCTTTATGGATGTCCTGGCGGCGACTGACACATGAGACCCCCATGTCTTCCCTTCCCGTCCCTCCTCTCGTCACTGATGAAGCCTCACTCCTTTACATCATGGGACTGCAGCACTCTCCGTGGTGACAGCAGCACTTTGGGGACAGGCACCACCTTCCTCCCCACATAGATAGCCACACACAGTCCTCAGATACAATGCTCTGCAAACATGTGAGCTCATTTACTGTACTTTGCCTGCCATGTCCACCGAAGCTACCGGTTCCTGGGTAATTGGGAAACCCCCTTAAATATGTACACTGGAGTGGCCTCTTGCAGCAGGCGGGGCTGGAAGGGACCATTAGGGAGATTCTGTCTTTGTGCCTGTTCCCTGTGCTGAAGTCCAGGCCTCAGCACGCTGACAGGTAACTGGCAGCTCTCCCTCCTTGGAACTCGGCTCCCAGACTGAACAGCCCAGACAGCAGTTTAACCCGAGGGTCAGAGGGCAGCCAGGCGTTATCTGCCAACTGGTGGTGCCCCCTCCGCCTCGCTGAGCTCTGCCTTCCAGTATAGACCCTGACAGGAGGGGCCAAGCCTCGGGGATCCCTGACAGGACTTTGAGATGCAAAGAACCATTTCAACCCTCTCCCGTTTTTCAATGAATGAAAGCCAACATAGATTCCTTATTAATAACATACACCGGAGGGTACATCCTGAGACCCAGGAGATGAGAGTGACAGCACATCAATTTGGGGTTTGCAACATGCACACGCACCCACACAACACACACACACACACACACACACACACACACACACATACACACGTGTGCTTATCAAAGCCATCTTGTGATACTTCAGTTGATTAAAGATGAGGATTGAAAAGCATCTTAATAACCAGAAAATAACTTACATTCTAACATCTTGATTGTACTCGATTTCAAAGGGCAGCAAGATGTGTTGAAATGCACATATATAATCACCAGTGGAATTAACAGCTTTGCAGAAGTTATGCTTGAGAACATTATGTGTGGCTGTAACACAGCATAATCAAATTCCCATCTAATTCTATTAATGCTAAAATTCAGGCTATTTGCACATTAGCATATTTTTTTTCTAATATTAATTGTGGGGCTCCTGAAAAAGCCCATTTTTTAAATGTTTTCCTCCTCATAGGTATTTTTTTCAAGCACAATGACATGGTTGCACGGCATATTATTCATTTGAGTAAGAGCATTTCCCCTCTTTCTTTTAACCTTGATCTCATAAACCAAGTTAGATACGTGGGAATCAAGTTGGGAAGCAGCAAACGCTGCAGGAACTTGTGGCACGCATCCTTATGGCCGCTTTCCTTTCCTCTATGTGCCCACCACTCCCAGTGTCACTGAGAAGGATGTTTCCACATGAGCCATGGTCCTCCACCTGCTGGCAGGGGCTGACTCTATTTCCTTCTCCCTCTGCAGCTGGCCTGGCCTTGCATCTCAGAAACACCAACCTCAGAGCAGTTCTCTCACTCACCTGAGGCTTTCTGGAACTAGAACCCCACCCCAGCTCAGTGTCAGGTGTACCCGGGGTCAGGGGTCGAATATGACACAGAGCAGAATGTGAACTTGAAACGCAGGAACTCATGTGATAAAAGCAGCATCAGGACTTTAGAAAAGGAACAGAAGGAAGGGATGTGAATTTGAGCACCAAAATCTCATGTGGCAGTGGCTTTCCTTCATGTGCCCTGACGCCAGGCACATAGAGATCAACGTATCCATCTATTTATTGTGATTGGGCTTAAGTTCGGGTCACTGGGCATATGGGGTGAGTAAGGGACAGGTTCAGAAAGATGGAGTAGAGGGGAGGAATATGAAAGGAGAGAGACTGTTTTTATTTAAACTACTTAGCAGAGTTTCAAATATTGCAAACAACCTCAAAATGGGGGATGGAAGTCACAAGATTGGGGCTTAAGTCTTGTTTTTAATCATTTTCTAGCTGTGAAACATTAAGCAAGGAACTGTACTTCTCTGAGCCTTTGAAACGGCCTGTGCACAATCATAGCGATTACAATGCCACTTTAGCAAAATTACTTAAGTTATTGAGAAGGACAGTGTATATCCCAGTGTTTTGTAAAACACAGTCATACAGATGTAAGGTGCTATTAATAGATCTCTATTTATTGACATAACTCTGGGTAAATTTACTTTTTCCTCTTTAAAAAATTAGCAGCATGTCCAAATGCTCTTCCTTTTCTGTGTAATGCCTATGCACGCCTTTCTTTTCATTTGTGCAACTGGCTGTTTTGCCTAAGAGTCTAGGCAATGAATTATTTATTGGCACTACCGAAAAATTACTGGGACACAAAAGATGTGCTTGTGCTTCCAAGTCATGCGAGCCTGGGCTCCAATCTCAGCTCAGCCACGTATACGCTACGTGACAACAGATATTTTTACGTCAACTCTCAGGGTGTCTGAGCAAAGCAAAGGAAGAGAATGACACTCACTGCTTTGGTCAGGGGATTACACATGATGTAAACGAAACCGGGTACATAGAGACATTTGGTATTGGTCAAGAGCCATCTAGATACTAGTATCAGAAACCAAATTCAAGCTGGTTCAAAGGAATTTGTTGGCCCCTGTAGCCTGGAAGTGCAGGTTTGGACATGGCTCCATCCAAGAGTCTCAAACTATGAGATCAGGGCCCCTTCATCTCTCAGCTTTGACTCTCACAGTGCTTTGTTCTTATTCTGTCCTACTACAGATGCCTCTTCTTGTAGCCAGAGTCAGACTGCACAGGGAGGAGCTCTGCATGCACACTTAGTACCCGACTTAGCAAGGAGGACAACATCGGTTTTCATATGTCGCAGGCCCTCGAATAACTTTGTTTCATTATAATGTAACACAGTGGTCTTTGTGTCTCTAAACTTCCATGGTTTTGTGTTTTTACACCAGCATCACCAGTAAT